CTCATCCAAGCAGTCACTGCAGAGTCGGTAACGACTGAGCGCAGATAAAAAAAAAAAGAGAGATCTTTAAAAAAAGATCACTCACTCACTTACAGCCTGTTGAGGCACATGGATCTCATAAGCCCCCTTGCTTCCTATCTGGGTTTTCCAGATAGGTGTGGCTAGAGCAGACAAGACACACAGCCCTGGTCAACAGCCGGGAAATAATTAGGGAGACACACAAATCACTTTCAAGTGAACACTGAAGCACATCAGATGCTTTGGAATACACGGAGACCCAGTGAATTTAAAGTAACAGCAAAACATTACTGATTACAATGTACATTTGCTATTTCCAACATGCACACACACACACACACACACACACACACACACTCATCCTCACTTACCCATGTCCTTCTCAACTAGGCTGTCAGGCACAAGCTAGAGGGATGGAAGCTGCCAAGTCTGGATCTAAAAATGACTCAAGGAGTGGGCAAACTTCAGATGCCTTGTACAGGTAGTCCTCATGTTTTTAACGGTAATTGGGACCAGAATTTCCATCCCAAAGTGATACAGTTGTAAAGCATGACATCACGTGACTGCATCGCTTAGCGGCTACAATCATAGCAATCCCCATTGCCATCATTAAGCAAGGATTGTGGGTCATTAAGCAAGGAACTCCTCACGACTTCCTGCTGCCAGGTGTGCGAGGGTGTGTGGGTGGCCGGTGGAAGTGCGGTGGGGCTGGGGGTGGCTGCTGCTGGGTGCACAAGCATGTGTACAGGTGTCCGTCAAGGCATGGTGTGAGCACAGAGGGGCTAGGGGTGGCTTCTGATGGGTGGGGGGGGTGTACAGGTGGCCATCATGGGAGGGTTGCTGCAGGCATGCACATACTATGGGGTACGAGATCTTAGGGCCAAAAGCTATGGGAGCGGAAGCAATTTACCATAGCAACTTGCAATCTTCCCTCAGCTTCTCTATTGGCTTTGCCTGTGGGAAGCTGGCAGGGACAGTTGCAAATGGCAATCTTGTGATGCGGGACACTGCAACCATTGTAAGTGCAAACTGGTTGCCAAGCACCTGATTGTGATCACATGACCACGGGGTGCTGGGACAGTCGGAACTTCAAGGAA